TTGTTCATGTTGCCAAAGCAGCAATTAGAGATAAAATGGTATGTTATTTATTGCCTGTAACAGTTACGCTTGCATGGTTTTCATGGTTTACCTTGGAAGTCATTTTTTTTATAAGAAACTGGAAATTTATTAAATAAACAGAAAAAAAATACAAAAGGAAGATGGATGAGCTATCCACCCAAAAGAGAAAAGAACTAGAAGTACAAGACACAACAAGAAAACTGAACACCCTACAATAACTAACAAACACCAAATTACATCAAAATATCCTCCCAATAATGAAATCAAGGAATGAGGAAAATCCTTAAAGGAAGAATCTGTCGATGCCCACAAAGAAGCCAAAAAGTTTGCCTTCTCAAACAAATCTTCTTTAGACATCTTCTCTTCAAAAATTCTCTGGTTTCTTTCCAATCAGAGCTCCTAGGAGATAGCAGTGCTCATCGCCTTCCAAACCACTCGAGCTTTCCTTCCCCTTCTAAAACCAGCAGGTTTCTCCACCATAACGTCACTACACCGAGCAGGGGCCGCCCAAATAAGATCAGCAGCTCTAAACAATTTGCGCGCGCCTGAGGTATTGAGAAATAAATCGTCTGTAGTCTCATTATTTTCCTTGCACAAAATTCAATTAGGAGAAAGTGCGAGATGACGATGCCTTGGAAGTCATTTAATAAGCTCAAAAGTTTTTGCATGAGAAAGAGCTACTCTATTGCTTATGACGCAACTGATTGGCTAAATTAATTAACACTGCACTTGAGAGACAATATTTTGTTTGGAATTGGGGCAGCAGTGCTTTCATTTCCTGTAACTTGTAGTAATTAAACATCCCCAGTGCCATCTCAATTATGTTCTTAGTACTATTTGTGTTCTTTTATCAGGTTGATCCATTCTTACATTTAGTCGAAGATCGCGAGTTGCAGGCTGTCAACTGTGGATCTAAGGCAAATGCTTATGGATCTAAAGAAGATGATGGCTTGGCCAGGAAGTCGCTTTCAGAAATACAAATTACTGAAGATCAAACAAGGGAATTCTTTGCTTCTGAAATAGTAAAGAGCGTAGAAGACTTGTCAGATGTAAAGTTTCTACATGATAGTTTCCCGCCTTTCTGACTCCTTTAATAGTCAATTAATAAGCTCTTTGGAAATTTGAAATCTCAAGCAGAAAACAGTCTTACTTTTGAGTATTGTTGATTCTGTATTTGTTAACATTCAGTGGTCTCCTTTTGCAGTCCGAGTCATCGACTACAAGACAGAAACTTCTCATTGACTTCATTCCTGATGATGTTTGTCCCCTTGGGTCCCAGTTCTTGGATACTCCCGAAAAATTATATCAGGTTGATTTGAAAAGTAGTACATCTAAGGAGGTAATTCCTTCTCAACACTCAATAGTTTCTAATTCCTCCATTAATGCTTGGGAGAAAACTAAAAATCTTTTGTCAATATGCAGGCTGCTCCACTTTTTTCAATAGATAAGGATTCTTTTGCATATTCGTTTGATAGTCACAAAAATCATTCAGAATTTGCCATGGAAACTCCCAGTCTTTTGAGTGTGAACCAACTTTTGGAATCAGTATGTTAGCCAGCACCATCTCTTAGTTTAAATTGCGTTTGTAATACAAAGGATTTTAATTGTTTAATCATCAAGCTTGTTCCAGGGCGAGAATGCTCTTTGTTGCAACATTGTGATAACAGGCTTTTGTGTCTGCAGGTTTCTGAAACTACGCATTAAGTTGGAAGGGTTTCAGTCTCGACTGGACCTGACGTGCCTTACAAGGAAATGGCCCTGCACTGTGAAGCACTCCTTATGGGAAAGCAAAAGAAGATGTCTGGTTTAATAAGTGGCCATCAAAGACAAGAATGTTTGACGGACTTCTCATATCATAATCAAAATGATGAATCGAAAGCAATAATCTCCGCTTCCTATGTTGATGTTGGTTACCTTGAGGTACTACCCGCTCACACTTATATTCGTTCATGCGCATATCCACACATATGATTGTTATGTCCCTTAGAGTAGCATCATTGATGTCCTTTCAGCAGGCAGATATGATACAATTGATCTTAAAAACTCGCAATTTTTGGCTGTTGTGGTTATTGAAATCTTGCTTGATTTATATTATCTATGGGCTCTTGTAAAACTTTTGTGAACTTAAATGCAAATGCAGGTTAATAACTTCACCACCAATGCATGCAAACCTTCGGTTGGTCCTGCTCTTATGTTGTGCGCAACAGAATACCAGCATCATCCTCAGTTCTTCAAACTACCGGCATCAAGTCCGTATGATAACTTCCTAAAAGCAGCTGGTTGCTAAAAGAGTCCTTACTAGTGTGAAAATATGTATCTTGATTGATAGGAACTAGGCAGGAATCTGTCGGTAATCTAGCCACCCGTGGATTCTTCCAGCCTCAAAGACTCGCCAGATTTGTCGTAGAAACTATTCACATTTTTACTCATCTCCTTAGCTCCGCGTAAGAGACCGTCGCAGATCAAAGATCAGCTGAGTTTTTTGCTTTCCCTTTCTCTGGCTCCAATTCTTTCCATTCCCCCCCTTTTTTAAACACTATGAAAAGGAGTGCAAAGGAGTTGTTTCTACCATGTCTCCTTCTCACTCATCTTTAGGTTCTGTTGTGCTTCGGAGCTTCCATTGTCATTCGATCCGTTGATTATATAAAATTGTATTTATTTGTAGTTCCAGTGTTGTTGTGATGGTGAATGTAAAACATGAGAGTTGAATTGATCACACAATCAATGAATCTCTTGATTCTTCTATATAGCAGAGATGACTCTTCTTTATCACTAAAGAGCAATATCTCTAATGTTGCGTAATCGATTTATTATTGTTATTTTCCATTTTTAAGGGAAACGTCCCATTGTTGCTTTTATCAAATTGGGAACTTTTTCTTGTGGGATAAAACACTGCGATTTATTTGTCCATTAGTTGGGAAAAAAAAAAAAGAGAAAAATAGTTGGACTTTTCTGATGGAATTGGTTGTGAGTCATGTTTCCCATGGTAGAAATTTGTACGTAGATTGATGTTTTTGATGCCTTTTCATACTTTGAAATATATTTTCCCATAGGAAAAAGAAAATGATTCATTTCCCTTGTGAAGCAAAATGATTCATGCCTCTTGTGAAGCATCGGCCACAATTGTGTGGGTACATGAGGGAATATTTGCACAATCTCTTGGAGTTGCTGGAAATAAATTAGTCTAACCAATAAAACATAAATATTAGAGTATCTCTAATACAATACCCTAATGTGAAAATGACAAATAACATTTTATATGTAATGTTAGAACATCTACGATGTAATGCCAAATGAGTGTGTCAATGTCAAATTTCAGTATTTGAGTAGGAAACATTGTTCAATGTGATGTCATTCTTAGTGACAAATTTGACATACTTGGTAAGGAATTTAACACGAGATATAACACTTGCCAAATTTTGACATTTGAGTTTTATTGGTTTTATATATTTATCTTTTCGTTTAATAATAACAGTATAGATATTTTTAAATTATTTAAAATTTAAAAATTAAAAATTTTATCGCATTGGCGCAAATAGAAAAATAACATACTGAGTATGCTATTTTCACACATAGGTGTTGGAGATGGTCTTATTTTCAGTAATAAATTTGACATGCTATACTTAATATCAAAATTATCACCAAGTATAGTATATGTCAAATCTTAGCATTTAATTATTATTGGCCTTTTCATTTTATCATTACAATATTGTTATTTTTAAATTATTTAAAAATTATAAACTTACTTTTATAAATTACAAAGCTTCATAATTAATAGTTATACAAAAAAAAAAGCGCTAAACTTCTCACGTTACGATTTTAACAAAAAAAATAACACATTATTTATACGTGGTACATAATTTAGAAGTATTTTAGTAACCCCATTATCTTTAAATCAAATTTAAATTTAAGAGTATGTTTCACTACTCAAGTCTTAACTTGAGTTGTGTATATGAGAGAAAAATACTATAGTAAAAAAATTGAATTTAAATTTTTATGAGAGAAGATGTGAAGTAATAGAACTTGAGTTGTAAAATGAACATGACCTAAAAGTTTATTTAATTTAAGAATCTAAATGCTAAGGAACATTAAATAGACTAAAAAATCAAAAATAAAAAAAATCTTTCGCTCATCAAAGGAAAGGCCTTGGCGACGACTCCTTCGCGATCTTCTCTCTTAAGGTAATCTAGAGTTTCTGATTTCCTTCTCATTGCAATTTTCTTTTCAATCACTATATTTTGAGTTTAATCATTCAGAGGATGTTTGGTTTATATACTATTCAGAATCATGATTCATAACTATTCTCGTTTTACGTGTATTTTTTATGAGAGAAAAACACTGTAGAGAACCATAAATCATGATTCAGAATCAGGGACGAATATAGGAAACAAACGTCCCCTGAATAAAAGTGTCGATTGTGATCTTGGGTTTCTGTGGGGCTGATTGATTTGAAAGCTCTTAGGGTGCGTTTGGTAGATGGATCCAGAATCATGATTCTGGATCCTGGTTGAGAATCAGTGTTCGTTTATAGTAATTCTAAATCATGATTCAGAATCAGTGTTTGGTTTGGATGATTCTAAATCATAATTCAGAATTTGATGTGATGTTTTAAACTAGCTCAAATCATGATTCTAAAACCACCCCCTCTTGATTCAAGGTGATTCAAACTCATGATTTTAGAATCATGATTTGAACCCAAAATCATAAATTATGGTTCTAATTCTATAATCATGATCAAAATCACCCTAATTTAAAACCTTATACCAAACGAATCATAAATGGTCTATTTACAAGGACTGAAATACATTTGTGTAGTTACATTATTATAATGTGATTTTTTGCTACTTGTGAAATATTATAATGGTGTGTTACTGAATAATTTTTTTTAAAAAAATCACTTTCTATCAATGACGGACCGTGGATTTATTTATTAATAATGAACTCGATAAAATTGATTTTCAGTCCATCATTGGTCAACAATTTGTACACAAACCGTCTCCTTGGCAATCTTACTAAGCAAGTAAGATAGTTAAGCTGGCAAAACGATGTTTCTTGATCTACTGGGAAAACTAAGCTACAAACCAAGTCAAAAAGGTCACTTTTGCTGATTATAGAGAGCACCTTCGCAGTCAAGACTGTAGTATTAGATTTCCAGGTTATGTAGCTGTCAGTTAGCGGCTTCATCAACTGAAAAATTGCTCGGTGCAGGCGAGCCGACAAAGCGGGTGTTGGTCGAAAGGAAAGACTTCTCATCAAACTCAGCAACATCTGCTCCATTGCCTCTCTCCATATTTAGCTTTTGTATTAAACATTTAATTGATTCCACAACTTCAGACATTGGTGGTCTGAACTCCTTCACAGGCTGTTCAAGTTTCAGTAACACAGAGCGGTTAACGTTCGCTTATGGATGTTGTGTTCATTGTAACCAAAAACAACTTCCAAAATACTTAGAATAACCACAATAAAGATGAGAATCCGGTTGATGCTAAAACTGTTCTACCTGTATGCAGAGGGAAATAATGTCAGTGAAACGGGAGAGAATCCTGACAGAAAATGTCCTTCTAATGCCTGGATCGACCATCTGTTCCAAACTCTCGCTGTCGTGAAGCCGAGATGAAGCCCATTTAACCAGACATTGCTCTTCCCTTGCTCTTAAACTGTGTCAAAACATAGTGACAGTGAAGATAACAACTTAAGGATTTTGCTGAGAACTAAAAGACAATAGGCCAGAAGCGTACTTGTCGAAAGGTTTTCTTCCTGTTAATAGCTCCAAAAGCAACACTCCAAAGGCGTAGATGTCGCTCTTTCGATTATCAACTCCCGATTGACCATGTTCTGGCGCGATGTAGCCTGTGTCTCCAATAGCGATTTCGGATGCCTGTTTGTATCAGCAATCAACTATAATTAATTCTTACTCCATTTTGTCTATGACCAACGAGCATCATCTTGTCCGATTTTAGGAAAATTTAACCTAAAATCATAAACTATACATAAACTGTATAATCTGTGACAATAAAGGAAATCTAAGAAAACAAGGTCTATAATTTAGTTACAGACTGGATATTACTGTCAAAGTGTGTACCTTGATTTTGACTGTATTGCTAGTAAGTGGCTTCAAAATAGCAAGCCCACAGTCGCATACACGAGGCCTGAGTTCTTCATCAAGTAAGATATTAGCAGCTTTCAGGTTGCAGTGAGCAAGAGGAGGCGAGAACGTGGAGTGCAAATAGCTGATGTCATAGTTTTCGAAACAATAAAACAATCAAAAAACACTAAGGTGAATAAATAGACAATAGCAAAAACTAACAATTTTTCATTCAATGAGAACATGCTTACTCCAAAGCCTGAGCAACACCAAGTGCTATCTGGAGCCGGAGGCCCCAGGACAGAGACTTGTATTCGCTGCTGTGCAAAGCGACATCAAGAGACAAACTTCTGACATACTCGTATACCAGGAGATGTTGTCCATGCTCTACACAATAGCCAATAAGCTGTACAATATTTGGGTGCTTCAAACGTGAAACAGTCCAAACAACGTCCAAAAACTGCTCTTCCTCTTTGAAAGACAGCGTAACGGTGTTGATGTTCTTCACTGCCAAAACCTGAACAACATAGGAGAATTCTTATGACCTTTATCAGATTTTCTAATCATTCGTGGAAATAATATATGTATGAGAAAGGTCCAGTTTTATACTTGGCCATCTGGAAACTCAGCTTTGTAAACGGAGCCTAGAGATCCTTCACCAATAAGATTTGGTTCACTAAAGCTGCTTGTAGCAGATTGAAGATCTGCTATAGTGTAGACTTTTGCTTTCATTGGGAACCCGTACTTCCTGGCGAAACTTGTTCTTCTGGACGTCTTCTCAACTCTGCTATGGTAAATGGGAGGCATCCTCTTTGGACCGAGAATGGGTGACCTGAAAGTCAAGACTTTCGGGCTTCGTTCTGTTGTGGTAGGAGAACTACCTAGAGATACAATCAAGAAATATTGAAACGACACATGATAATGAAGAGGTGGAAAAAGAAACTATTCTTAAATAAAACATGCGTGATTAAGGCCCATTTTCTTGTCCCGTCATCAAGTTTATCTTAAAACTAAGAAGGCTTGGCTGATGCGAAGAAGAGACTGTAGACAAGAAAGTTCATCTATTTCTAATAACCAGACACTCGGGACATTATACTATCATGGTGTAAAAGACGTTAATGTTCTTTGGATGCAGGGGACTATTAACAGTCTTCAGCTATAATTTGGAGAAGGTTAGTTCTTAAAAATAATAGTCTTGTAGGAAATCAGAAGATTTTATCTTTTCAGTTTTTGAATTAAAGAGCCAAAACTAAGAATCAGAAGATTTTATCTTTTCAGTTTTTGAATTAAAGAGCCAAATCCCTTACTTTGGGATTAGGATCCTAGGAGATAGGGAATTCCGGTTTTTCTAGATAAACACCGGATCTAGATAGATTTAGATAAGATAAGAGCTTATTTGAATTTCTATGAGTTGTCAAGGGTACTTGGTATCCTATAAATTAGGTTTACGTTACACTAATAATAATAAGAGAAAAAAGGAAGTTTTTCCCTTCAAAACCTACATGGTATCAGAGCCTTAGGGTTCTAATCTTAGGGCAGACTGGCAAAAACAGCCATGACAGGCGAACACAGAGCCCAAACCTCATCTGAGGTAACCTCTGAAAACAGCCTAGATAGCTCCCCTGTTACCGGTGTTGACAGTATAACAACCGGTACATCCCTACAGATTTCCATTCCAAAATTTAATGGAAAAAACTACCTTGAGTGGTCCCAATCGGTGAAGCTTGTGCTTGATGGCAGAGGAAAATTAGGGTTTCTTACCTGGGAAGAAAAACAACCCCAGGAGAAAGATTCTGGCTTTAAAAGATGGAGGTCAGAAAATTCTTTGGTGACAGCATGGTTACTAAACACCATGGAAACATCAATTGCAAAACCCAACATGTTCCTACCAACCGCCAAGGCTGTGTGGGACTCAATTCGGCAGACCTACTCTGATTTGGAAAATTCTTCACAGATCTTTGAATTGAAATCAAAACTGTGGAAATCCAAACAAGGAGACCGTGAGATCACAGTATACTACAATGAGATGGTAGCCCTTTGGCAGGAATTGGATCGATGCTATGATGATGAATGGGAGAATCCGAATGATTGTGCAAGGTATATGAAGAATGAAGAGAATAATCGTGTCTACGTGTTTCTTGCTGGAGTTAATCGAAGTCTAGATGAGGTAAAGGGAAGGATTCTTGGTCGAAAACCCCTGCCCTCTATCCGAGAAGTTTTTTCAGAAATACGACAAGAAGAAAATAGGAGAAGAATCATGTTGAACAGCACAGCACCAACTCCAGAACCTGAGAATTCCGCTCTAGTCTCCCGCAACTCAGGAGGATCCGACATAGAAGGTGAACGGAAAAAAACGCCCGTGGTGTGATCATTGTCGGAAACCATGGCACACTAAGGAGACATGCTGAAAACTTCATGGAAAACCAGCAAATCTCAAGAAAAAACCAGAGGGGAATGGCAGGGCGTTCAAGACTACTACGGAAGACTCTCAAGAGCAGTCCACTGACTCGGAAGTGTTACCTTTCACTAAGGAACAATTAGAACATCTATATAAACTCTTTAAATCTCCACAATTTACTGTCAATCCTTCATGCTCACTTGCAACCCAAGGTAATTCGTATGTCACAGCCCTTTCTAGTCTAGGTTCTTTCTCTTCTAGTCCATGGATTATAGACTCTGGAGCAACAGATCATATGACAAACTGCTCACATCTCTTCTCGTCCTATAGTCCTTGTGCAGGAAACAGGAAAATTAAAATTGCTGATGGATCTTTTTCGGCAATAGCCGGGATTGGTTCAATCAAAGTTTCCTCTCTCGTAACTCTTAATAATGTGCTTCATGTCCCAAAATTGTATGTAACCTCTTATCTATTAGTAAGATAGCACAAGATCTTAAGTGTCAAGCTAATTTTTATCCAACTCATTGTGAGTTTCAGGAACTAGCCTCGGGGAGGATGATTGGCAATGCTAGGGAAAATGGAGGACTCTACTTTTTTGAAGAAGGACCCACTCCGAGTAAACCAGTCCAAAGTTCATGTTTTGAAGCTATGTCTCTTTCTAGGAATCATGAAATTATGTTATGGCATTATAGACTTGGTCATCCAAGCTTTTATTATTTAAAACGTTTGTTTCCATCTTTATTTCTCAATAAGAATCCTTCTTCATTTCAGTGTGAAATTTGTATTTTTGCAAAACAACATCGATCTACTTACTCTCCACAACCATACAAACCCACTAAACCTTTTTCCCTAATCCATAGTGATGTTTGGGGCCCCTCATGAACTTCTACTCTTTTCGGGAAAAGATGGTTTGTCACATTTATAGATGACCACACTAGAGTAAGTTGGGTTTATTTGTTGAAAGAAAAAACAGAAGTTGAAGGAGTTTTCAAAAACTTTTACACTATGGTACAAACTCAATTTAATGGAAATATTCAAGTCTTTAGAAGTGATAATGGAAAGGAGTTTTTTAATAGTGTTTTGGGGAATTTTTTTTACTGAAAAGGGGATTATTCACCAAAGTTCATGTAATGACACCCCTCAACAAAATGGAGTAGCTAAGAGAAAAAATAAACACCTTCTAGAAGTTGCAAGAGCCTTACTTTTCACACATAATGTTCCAAAATATCTTTGGGGTGATGCCATTCTCACAGCTACCTATCTCATAATCGGATGCCCTCAAAAATTCTAGATTTTCAAACTCCTTTGCAAATCTTCTCAAAAACCTTTCCATTCTCTAGGGTCTTATCAGACTTGCCTATTAAACACTTTGGATGCATTGTTTTTGTTCACAACACTGATCAAAACCGAAGTAAACTAGATCCTAGAGCCAAAAAATGTGTCTTTGTAGGCTATGCTCCAACAAAAAAGGGATATAAATGCTATGACCCTATTTCGAAAAAATTGTTTGTCTCTATGGATGTCACTTTCTTTGAAACACAACCGTTTTTCAAGTCTCCTCTTCAGGGGGAGAAAAATAGTGAAGATCCAACTTGGGATAAAATAGAACACTTGGTGACTGAAGTTCCTTTCCAGCCTGAACAGAATTTGATTTCAGAATCTGGTTCTAAACAGTCACCAACAAACTCGGTTTTAACTCAAAACCAGGAAGACCAAAGTCTCATTCCAGCAGAAAATAATGGTCCTTTAGAAGGAGATGCAAATAAAAGGAAATTTGGACTGGTTTACTCCCAAAAGAACTTGACTCATGGAAGGGAGTCTGAAATTTTCCAGCAAAGCTGAAACTCCAACCCGAGGCAGGACCAAAATCTTGTGAATGCCTCTTCTCCCATCCAAGATTATCCAGGTATCTCTCCTCCCTCAAACTCCATTCCCGGAGAAACAACTCTCAATAACCTCCCAATTGCTGTCCGAAAAGGGGTTAGATCATGTACTAAGTATCCAATGTCCAAATTTGTGTCCTATGAAAAATTGTCCCCAATGTTTTCTTCCTTCACTACTCAACTCTCACTTGTGGAAATTCCAAAGAATGTTCAAGATGCTTTACAGGTCCCTGAGTGGAAGGAGGCAGTTCTAGAGGAAATGAGGGCTCTCAAGAAGAACAATACTTGGAGGATGGTTGACCTACCGAAGGATAAGAAGACTGTGAGCTGCAAATTGGTGTTCACAGTAAAATACAAGTCAGATGGATCTCTGGAAAGATATAAGGCTCGTTTGGTTGCAAAGGGCTTCACTCAAACATATGGAATCGACTACATGGAAACTTTTGCTCCAGTAGCAAAACTTAATACTGTTAGAGTACTTCTCTCATTGGCAGCAAACCTGGATTGGCCACTACAGCAACTAGATGTCAAGAATGCTTTTTTGAATGGTGATTTGGAAGAAGAGGTGTACATGGATGCCCCACCAGGTTTTGACAGAGAGTTTGGCTCTAAGGTGTGCAGATTGATGAAGTCACTATATGGTTTGAAGCAGTCACCGAGGGTGTGGTTTGAGAAATTTACTTGCTCAGTAAAAAGGCAGGGTTATACACAGGCTCAAACGGATCACACAATGTTCTTCAAGCACTCACCAAGCAGAAGAATTACCATCCTAATTGTCTATGTTGATGACATTATCTTGACAGGGGATGACCCGGTAGAGATGCACAGCTTAAAAAAGAATTTAGCTACAGAATTTGAGATCAAAGACTTGGGCTCCCTCAAATATTTCCTTGGGATGGAGGTGGCAAGGTCAAAGAAAGGAATTGTTATAAGTCAACGGAAGTATGTGTTAGACCTACTGAATGAGACAAGTATGAGTGGATGTAAACCGGTAGATACACCGGTGGACCCCAATGTTAAGCTCAACAACAGTGGGGAAGGAGATCCAGTGGACACAACAAGATATCAAAAGTTAGTAGGTAAACTAATCTACTTATCTCATACGAGACCAGACATAGCATTCTAAAATACTTGAAGAATTCTCCTGGGAGAGGTCTAATTTTTAGAAAGAACACTCAACGAGGGATTGAAATCTACACTGATGCAGACTGGGCTGGATCCTCCACAGATAGGAGATCAACAACAGGATATTGTTCCTATGTATGGGGTAATTTAGTTACTTGGAGGAGTAAGAAGCAAAGTGTAGTAGCAAGGAGCAGTGCCAAGGCAGAGTATAGAGCAATGGCTAATGGTGTGTGTGAACTACTGTGGTTACAACGGGTGTTGAATGAATTAAAGTTGCTGATAGAAGCTCCTATGAAGTTATACTGTGACAACAAAGCTGCAATCAGCATTGCCAACAACCCTGTGCAACATGATAGAACCAAACATGTTGAAGTTGATCGGCATTTCATCAAGGAAAAGCTCGAAGGAGGTTTGATCTGCATGCCATTCGTTCCAACAGTACAACAAACAGCAGATATCTTCACGAAGGGATTGTTCAAGTCGACTTTTGATTTTTTTGTTAGCAAGTTAGGTTTGCATGATATCTATGCACCAACTTGAGGGGGAGTGTAGGAAATCAGAAGATTTTATCTTTTCAGTTTTTGAATTAAAGAGCCAAATCCCTTAGTTTGGGATTAGGATCCTAGGAGATAGGGAATTCCGGTTTTTCTAGATAAACACCGGATCTAGATAGATTTAGATAAGATAAGAGCTTATTTGAATTTCTATGAGTTGTCAAGGGTACTTGGTATCCTATAACTTAGGTTTACGTTACACTAATAATAATAAGAAAAAAAAGGAAGTTTTTCCATTCAAAACCTACAAGTCTATATAAGATCTTCAGAAAAATCCTGTGAACTTCAATTCAAGGAGGATGTACACTTTGCTTAAACATCAACCTTTAGCCTAATACAGATGTAATTGCCCAGTGCAAAATCAGAAAAGAGATTACCTCTGGCTGTACTGATTGGAAGAGACTGCATTGGGATGTTGTTGCAACCCAAGTTTTGAAGCTTTCGTGTGCGGTAGTGATGGAGACGAACGGAAATATAGATTGCAACACATGAAACCAGTAGAGTTCCTCCACCAACTGTAAAAGCTATTCCTCCAGGACCCATTTTTTTCTTCTTGGAGTCATATCTTTCAATAACAGGATTGCTCTCAATCGCACTTGACTGTGTTCTTGGGGGGCTTCTGATATTCTGTTCAATGGGCACTGTTTCTAGAGGGAAATCCCAGGGTGGCGAATTACCTGCATGAAACTTGTTCCCTCCAATCCTAATAATAGTAGAAGAGGAAAAGTAGTCAATCTAAGGAGTCTTGAATTTTGATTGTGTAATTCATTTAAGCAAAGAAGAGATAGCAAGAAGAGATTTCTCCTTACCATAGGTTTGGAATGGACTGAAAATGTTTAGGAATGATGCCACTGAAATAATTGTTCTGGATGTTCCGGACAACATATATACATATATATATATATATATATTATCAAGCAATCAAAGGACGGATAAAAAAGATGCCACAAAAGAAGCTAAGGAGAACCCTTACAAGTCAATTAGTGGAAGCTCAGATAGATATGTGACTGATCCAGTGAAATTGTTATTCTGCAAATATCTGCACAGGACATTCGCATTCACATAACACGTGATCATGATTCCAGGAAGATAGATATATGACAAAAGAGACACATAAGCAGGTAGGTAAAACTCACAATCCAGTAAGATTTTTCAGGGATCCAAACGAACTCGGTAAATCTCCAGCAAAATTGTTATAGGACAAGTCCCTGGAGTAAAAAAAAAAAAATGCCATGACACTTGATACTGCAGTTCCAATACTATCACTCTTACAAATTATAGTCTGAGATTGAATCAGTATAAATGCAGTGTTGCCAAGAAGCTGCAATTCACTTAAGTGGAGTAAATCTAACCAAAATTCTTCAGAGGAGTGATTGTAGTTTTGCTTGGTATGGCTCTCCATTAGCTCGTGTTTGTTTTAACTGACAAACCTAAATCTAAAGAGTCTAGGCATACTTAACAACTTAGAAATTATCTTTTGATATTTCAAAATTAGCACAAACACTGAAAAGATGTTCTGATCCATATAAGACGAATACAAATTATCATCATAATGATTAAGAAATCAGTAAACTTGTCGTGTTTCTAAACGATCTAAATAAAGTTCTTTCATCACTGGAAATGCGGGTTGCGGTGGACTTAACTTACATGTATCTTGAGTCTGGTATTTAAGAGGGTAGCCTACTAAAAAAGACTAGAAAGTTTTGTCAACTATTGGCTTGTTTATACTTTATGGCACTTATAATTTTGTCCTCTTCAAAGTGCAAATGAAAAATATAAAAACTAGGTGAAACAAGGAAAGAACATACATCTCTCTAAGATTCCCCATGCCAGTAAACAGATTGCCAATATATCCCGATAAAGAATTGTGGCTTAAGTTCCTGTATGAGAACAATTATAAGTTACAAGACTGTTAAACACAGAGAGAGAGAGAGAGAGAGAGAGAGTAATAGGTTGCTATTAGAGAAACTCACAAATGTCGGAGATGTTTCATGTTAGACAAAGAGTCGGGAATACTATGAGTCAAGTTATTGCACGCCAAGTTTCTACATCATGAAAAGGAAAAGATTTTAGTTAGAACTAGAGAATGTATTTGGATGACAATAGTGTATAATACAGAGTTAAAGCATGTTATTAAACTTTACATATGAGTGGCATTGGGGGGTAATCCATCTGGAATTGGACCCCAAATGTTGTTGAAGCTAAGGTCCCTGCAAAAAGGAATCCAAGTCATATAATAAATATTACAAAACAAGATTGAGCAAATAGCAGATTCACTTACATCTGCTTCAAGTTATGGAGATTTGAGAGGTGGTGTCCGAGATTTCCGGTCAGGTTCAATCCACGAAGTCTACTGCAGGAAAAAAAAAAATTTGAAGAGATATATTTTGGCACACAAGTTATATTTCCGAGGCCCCAAAAAAAAAGGGTAAAGAGATATGTTGGTTACAGGTATATAACAGATGAGCCAAAACATGACACTCCCATCCATGATTCCTCACAAGGATCTCCACTCTCCATTCTCCACCCCTTTAAGGGTGGAAAATTTAGGTTCCAATATAGATCCTGAAGAGCTATGACTGCATAGTCAAATAAACAAGCTTAGTGGGAAGCTGTAACATTCATAAAGAAAACACTTAGGCCTCATTCATTTTGCTCGTTGAGTTGAGAATTTGAGTTAAAAAGTGAATTTATGTGAGAGAAAATACTATAGCAGAAAAGGCTGAATTTGAATTTTTTTGTGAGAGATAGCAATTTGAGTTGTGATTCGAAACGAAGCCTTAATCATACTGAAATGGTGATTTCTGATTACATAAAAACATTGGTTATGAATCTTGTTTAACATTCTTAATCAAGTTAGGTTGATCCTTGGTGCTAGTAGATATTACTGGCAAAGCAAAGCCCCCACTATCTAAAACGAAAGTCCTCCCTGAAACTATAAGGAAAACGACATTTATGTACAAAAAAAAAAAACGACTTTAAATTGAAAACGGCATAATTGAAGAAACCACATTAATTTGAAAAAAAAAAAAATCGCATGAAAGTGAAAATAATTTCAATTCAGAAGCGACATCCATCTTCAAGACAAACATAGGTTCCCAAAACGGCGTTAAAGTGGAAACAACATTAAAGTGAAACAACATAAATTTGAAATACATACATCATAAATTTGAAAGATGGCATTAACATCATTCAACTGAGAAGACATTAAAAAGTTAAAACACATCATGTGTTTAAAAAACGATATAAATCCTAAGAACAACTCTTGTTACAAACGTAGTAAGAACACGTTAAATTAGAAAACGAAAGTTTCCAATATCAGATATGACGTTGGGACGACACTGGTTTATAAATACGACACTGATCCTAAAAACGATATTGAATTGGTTTATAACAATAATCTTGAAAACCACATAACTTGGAAAATCACATTAGTTTTATAAACGATTCAACTTGAAAAACCAAATCAAATCTAAAAAACATTAGTCGTAAGAACAATCCTCATAGAACTCCTATTAATAAAAAAATAAAATAAATAAATAAAAACCACTCTAAAAAAAGATAGTTGAAAATCTTGATACTTACCTCCAAAAGATTATTATTTAAAATAAAAATAAAAATAAAAAAGAAAGAAAGAAATAGACGACCAAATATGTGGCAGCGTTTTCAGAGGAAATAATTAGTGCGGAAAAAAAAAAAAAAAAGGTTCCGTCCTTTTCTGTTTGGTGACTGAGAAAAACTGATTACACATTATTCAAAACTTAAAGGTTCATCAGACTTTTCGTTCAAAACATTGCAAATATTTTTCTCTCTCGTTCTCTTGCACCTTCTCAGCAACCAAACAGAGTATAACGCGGCAAACACACGGAAGAGTTCAAGAAACAAGAAAGAAATCAAATCTATCGGAGTTACCGTCTTGTACATCGGTAAACGCCCAAGTTTGCGAAGCCGGAATTGCCAAGAAGATCATAACACTCAACCATGCACAAATCCCGATCCGTTTTCCCATTTTCTCGAGAATCAAACAGCTTATTCAGCTCCTTATTCTCTCTGCGAAAGACCGAGAAACACGTTAGACAATCAGTCTTGCGCTCACTTCCCGAGGAAAGAAAAAAATGCGAGAGAACGAACAAGAGAAAAGAAAGAAGAAAAGTTTAGCAAGATCCTACTATATATTTTCTCTCACTTTCCTGCCTTTTCTCGGAAAACAAACAAAAGAAAAGCTTTAATTCATCGAAAGTGCGTCATTAATAACGAGATTAAATGCTTAAAAGAGCAAAATTAGGATCTAAATCGTACATGGAATGAAGTAATTCTCTAGAGAGAGAGAGAGAGAGAGAGATTGCAGTGAAGAGAGGGTTTGGAATGTGTGCTTTGGACGTCTTTCAGAGAATACCGGCGAGAGAGAGAGAGATGGCGGTGCCGATATTACAAGTACAAGAAAATTCGTTGCTGACGTGGACTCCACGTCAGCAAAAACCGTTAGTAGTTAAGAGCGGGAGATTGGTAGCTCCCAATCGAGTGCTCTTAGGTACACGGTATACCGTTTTAGATTATGATGTGTCCGAATATCATTGGTTGTGGCGAAACCAACGGGCTTAAATGGGCCGTTTGTAAGGAAGCTCAAAGCCCAATCTTGGCCCATTGAACATTCCTTCTTCCTCCTTTGCATCTCTGCGTTGCTTGCTTCCTTCCTCTGTTCTGAAGCTCTCAGCTATGGCGGAATTTGCTGAAAAGCAGACCACCACCAATGGAGAACAAGTCGAAGATGAAGATTACATGGGAGACCTCTCTCAGTTTCTTCCTCCAGAATCCGAAAATCCTCCGAAATCTCTATCCAAAAAGGTAAATCAATCAACTTGTTCGGTTCCATAGAAAATGCCTAGAAAATTACTTAATTTTCCGCCGAGTTTTCCGATTTTCTCTTTGAATATTCGCAAACCGGAAGTAATTCGACTTTACAGACTTCAAGAAACGAAACCCTAGCGGCTCAACCATCGAAGAAGAGTAAGAAAGCAAATGCGTTAAACTGGCAAGAACACCGAAAGCTAGAGAGAGCGCGAAAGCAGGTCGACGAGGACGAGCAAACCCTAGCGAAAACAGAGGCTCCGATTCCGCAATCGAACATAGGGTTCAAGCTGCTGAAGCAAATGGGATACACGCCGGGGTCGGCCCTGGGGAGGGAGGGCTCGGGGAGGGCGGAGCCGCTGGGGCTGGAGATCCGGCGGTCTAGGGCGGGGATAGGGCGGGAGGATCCGGAGAAGGAGAAGAGGAAGATAGAAGCGGCGAAGGCCGAGATGAAGAGGAAGAGAGACGAGGTGGAGGCGGAGATAAGGAGGGGGAATGAGAAAGCTTTAATGGAGGATTTCGGGAGTCGGCAGAAATCGCAGTGGAGGAGTCGGAGAGTGGTGGTTAATTTTGAGAAGGCGAGGGCGGCTTTGGATCAGTTGGAGAATAGGGAAGTTGTGGTTCCGAAGAAGAGTGAGGATGATGAAGGAGAGGGTGAAGACGAAGAAGATGAAGAGGAGGAGATTACCGAAGAGGTATGAATATGATAATACTTGTTCATGAAAATTCGATTAATGTTTTAATTGCACAAATTTAACTAAACTTTATGAAAATCCGATAATTTGAGAGGAGGTGTAACGAAATTTTGATAGTGTTAGAATTATGGGAATTTAACGAATTGATGAAAATCCAACAATTTGAGAGTAGGTATAACAAAATTTAATGAAAATCCGACGATTTCAGAGTAGGTGTGAAGAAATTTCATAAAAATTAATACGAGGGACTGAGGGTTAGTACACTTGTGCCGTTTGGTTAGGAGATTCGAATCATGATTTGAATCATAGTTCATAGTTCGTTATAGTATTTTTTTCTTACAAAAAATACACATAAATTAAGAATAATTCTGAATTCATGAACCAAACCTACTCAGATTTTGGTGGCAAAATGGGTTTAAATTAAACATCTTTTCCAACCTTTTGAACTGATTAATGAATTAGCATGGTTTAAAAAGGTTGGTAGAAGTGATCTATTGTTGATGTTTAATTGCTTTTATATCATTAATAATTGCTTTTATGGTTGATGCAGGATTTGCAAAATATTTTGATGAAACTGAGAGAACGTAGATACTGTCTCTTCTGTGGGTGCCAGGTGAAATGATTGAAATGATTACAAAGATCTCAATGCACGTCAGAAAAGATATATCACTTTCAAAAAATTGCTTGTTTTGCCAGGTTGTACTGATTTTTGTATATCTTCTGATGTTTGTTTCAGTATGAATCAATGGAGGCCCTCTTAGCAAACTGTCCTGGAACTGATGAAGATGACCACTAATAAAACTTGACATTCTGATTTGGATAAATCCAAAATTTCACCTTCGTTCCACAATGGCGATTTTTGAATTTGAAGTAATGCACCTCAGATTTGGAGTTTCACTTCGTAATTGAAGATTTTGCAATATGCGACTCGCAAGCAAGTGATCGCCCATGATTTGTTATGCGAGGCCAAAAAAATGACACAAAAGGTGATGAGTCATTGAACTGTTCAAGAAGCAAATCTTGATCAAAAAAAGAGGTAGGGAAAAACTCTTGATTGAGAGTTGGAACTAGATTGGCACAGCCTATACGCCTGAGTTGGTGAATTTGTAGAACTTTCCTAAACATGTGTTGTACATTCAATTCCGCAAATCAAAGATTTTTACATCGATTTGTTAGATTTTACTTTTGTCAAAAGTGATTTTTTGTGTTCGTGATCAATATTATTTACCACCAAGTTGAGCATCAAGATTTGATTCACTAGATTTCACACTAATATGACAAGATGAACAAGAACCAGTGATAATTGCTAGGTACATTATTGATTTGTCTCTTACTATTTCGAATCCTTTTGTCTGAGGACAAGGATTGATATGATAAAAAATTTGGTGTCCTTGAAAAGACAACTAGGCCGAGACAGTCAGGATCCTCATCAAGTTGATGGTAATATAGACCTAATCCCTATAAAATGGGGGACAAAAATACTGCCTTGGAATGGTATGGGTCCAAAATAGCTCATTTCTTCTTTTGAACAAACCAGTTGGTCAATCACATGTCAGCACACAGCACATGGAATAAAATGGAGGTAAGAAATAAAACTCCCTGAAAATTCCAAGAGAAGTGAAAGAGACAAAGATCTCATTTATTTTACCGATTTGAGTTTAAAATTTAAACTTTGTTATAATGAAAAACTTTCTGAAATAATCACATTTAATTTTTTTATTACAGTTAAAAATTATTATATAAAATTACATCAAATTTTCAATTAGCGTTGAGAGAAAGAGACAAATATCTCGTTTAGTTGGCAGATTTAAATTTTCAATTAGTGCTAAGATATAATTTTATGTGAACTTTTTATTGTAATAAAAAAAAATAAATGACTTTTATTATAATTTTTAACTGTAACAAAACTAAAATTAAAAATTTAAATTTATAAAATTAAGGAGACCAAAAGCATCTCAATTGCCTTACAATCTAACCACATGCCAGAGTACATTTTAGGTTGAAATAGATTTAGTAATATGCTTCTTAAGGATAAGAAAAAGGAATGTAAAATCAGTGATTCATAGAATCTTAATCTATTATCTAATCCAATAAACCAATCTTTATGATAGCAAAAATGGGTTGGTAAACCTAATCACAAATCATCTTGACATAACGAGTATTTGACAATTTGTCATCAAAACGATCGCTAATTTGCTAGAGATTAACAAAAAACAGCATCAATTATCACAGAGCTCGGCCGATTAGATAAGTAAAAAGCAAGGCTAACACCATGAGTATCAGTGTTTTTCACACACATGAATGATTAACATAGAACCAAAAGTCAGTCTAAGGTCATGCCCCACAAGAGGGCAAAGCAAAAGAAAGTTTTTGCAGAAAGTTCCCAACTTACACCTCAAAAGTGATCGAAATAGTTCATTAGAACTGCAGATATGTTAAAGAGACTTATTCTAGAGTGACCAGTGCATGTGCTGACCGGAGGAGTCGAAATCCCTGGAGTGTCCAGGTTCCATAAAAGGCCTCCTACTCTGTTGGGACAGCTCGAGCTCACCCGAGAACTGACTAGTAAGAGGCTGCGAGATTTGACCGAGGCCAAGGTCGGGAAGGATCTGGTGTGAACTGCTACCAGCCATATCACTCTTTACGCCCCAAGAAGTGGTTGGAAAGTGATTGACAGGTCCACCATGAGGAGCTGCTGTTGGTTCAGCCACAGGTGCCCCTTGAGCATTCATCAAGGAATGGAGCTCGAGACCTGACGATGGTCGGTTTCTGGAGCTCCATGGTTGGTTTGACAGAAGAGAGAGAGCACAGCTTGAGTCTGCAACTACTGAAATGCATTCTCCCGAAGGCAGTGGAGGAATTCCATAACTAGCTGGGATGCTCGTCCCACATGCTGAAGCCTGCAGGAAAAGGTCGGATGGAGGATTCTCAGAGCTGCTCTGCCATGGATAAGGAAGAAACTTTCCTGTTGGAATGGTGGCGTGGTTTCCAGGCACCCGCTCAGAGACTCTAGCAGTTGCCCACGCATTCCTCCCAGCAAGCCTAGGGTACGCTGAGAAGTCCATCAGAAAGCTGCCAACTCTGCTGCTGCTTTCTGCCATCTCAAGAAAAACATAAAGTCAGCTTCAAGTAAATAAGGGCAAGCAAAACCAAAATCCATATGGATGTACAATCTGGGGACCCCAAATCATAATAAATTGATAATTCGATTAACTCCATGAAGACATATAAAGAGAATTGACCATAGCGCGTAGACAGTAACGATCCAGGTGGTGGCTTCCTCCGACGCTCATTATGACCAGCAAGGCGCCGACGGCAACTGCGTTTCCCTTGATCAAACTCCGGAAGCTGATGAAACCTGGGCAACAAGAAAGAAGAGAACTGTTTTTAGTTTCATAAGGACTCCTAATGAAATTATTTTGTCATAACCCTCTTACCTCTTATTATGGAAAGGGTTGGCCATGCATTTAGTAGAAATACTAACATTTGTTTTTGAGTTTGATCATACAACCACCAAGAAATGCCTCAAACTAGATAATCATTACAATTTATGAGTTATTTATGTAGGCCGCCGACGATTTTGCTTTATATTTAACAAGAAATTGTGAAATGTATTCAACGATTAAGTACGAAGATAACAAACACAGAAGAAATCTGCAGTGTCAACTGTCAAAAAACAGAAACATCCATTGCATTTTCAGATATTGGCTGTCGGTTCAACCCAAGAAGCTGGTTTAGTCACTAAAATGCCAAATTGACAAAAGTAATTGAAACCCATCATTTCTAATATGCAGGATTGGCATAGTCTTTAATTCCACAGGAGCTTCCACAGAAAATGGTTTAGAAAGGTCAAAACCTAACACCTAATGGCTAATGCATTTGATCTAAGACAGAAATTAACACGACTCAAAGTCAAATGTACAGGGCAATTTAGATTCCGGATTTTACTCTTTTCTCAAATGAGAACAAATTTCATTGGATTTAAGACATAAAAATTGGAATAACGTGTCCCAAAGGCTCAAAGGCTCAAAAGGCTCAAAACAATCCAACAAAGATGATTCATAACATAGATAATCTCTTAAAAGATTTCAGCGGCAAGTTTATGCCTAAACAGTGTCAAATGCCAAGTTATGAGCCTCCAAAGAAACAAAATTCAAGTTTGTTTTTTAAAGCCAGATAATTTGCTTTCAGCATTAATGTGAAGTGAACAGAAAATTTTAGCATCTTCCAATAGAGAACAGAATTATGCATTAGCGTAGAAGGGGAAAAAAGGAGGAAAAAGAAAAAGAAAAAGGGTACTACCAGATTTTATGTTGCCCAGTGTGATACAAGAAATTAGTGATAAGGTATAACACAGTACAACAAAGCAAGAAAAAAACCCAAATGTCTCATAAATCATACCCAATCAATCCCATGGCACTATCACAATATTAAATTAACAACTATGAAGACAAAAAAAAATTCTAAAAATAAAACACGACCATTAAATAAAAGAATTATCCCACCAAAAAACAAACTACTACTCCATTCAATGGAAAAACAATAATAACAACACCCAAATCTTTTTTCACCCCACAACACTAAACCAAACCCCAATGTCTCAAAAATCAAGCAAGCCTTTTCCTCTCAAAAAAAAAGAAAAAAAATGGAAGAAGTCTCATAAATCATACCCAATCAATCCCGTGGCACCATCAAGAATTATCCCACCAAATTAAAAGACAAAAGAAAAACTACCACTCCATTCAATGGAGAAAAAAAAATCAATTTTCACCCACAATACCAAACCAACCCAAAAAATTCCCTAAAAAAAAAAAAACCCCCCCACCAACAAATTTGACCATTGTTGAAGCAAGAGCCATTCGCATTCCTTATTCCACCACCCAAAATTATAAAATTTAAAAAAAAAATCACTACTCTATCCAATGGAAAAACAATAAAAACACCCAAAATCCTTATTCACCCCACAACACCAAACCGAAAAAAAAATAACAAAAAAAAAATTACCAAGAAATTTTGACAATTGTAGAAGCAATTTTTTTGGGTTTACCTGCTACACTGCTGGCAAAACCTCTGTTCAAGACCGGCGACAATGACTTTGGGTGATTTTGAGTGCATACCGCAAACTTTGTGCCTCGAATAATACGCCTTGGCGTCGCTCAGATCTACCTTACACCCTTCCACCTGGCACCTCGGAGGCTGGCCGGTCTGGACCGGCCCGGCCCGGACCTTCTTCGGCGGCGTGGCGGCGGAGGACGATGACGACGACCCAGAACCGGATTTGGGAGGGGCGCCGGTGGGACCCACGTCCTCGAAGTAGATTTTCTTGCCGAACTTCAGGCCGTTGAGGGACTCGCTGGAGGAGGACCCGCCCGATGAGGTCGAACCCATGATTTCCATGACCGCCGGCGATGTTGGTTTGCTGTTGCAGTTAGTAGTAGTGGTGGTAGTAGTAGTAGTAGTAGTTATTAGTACGAGGAGAGAGAAAGAGAGGCCATTTTCTGTTCATGAAAGTGTTTTTGGGGAGAAGAGAGAAACGGTGAGTGTTGTGGAGGAGGAGGAGGGGGTGGAGGAGGAGGAGCAGGGGTGGTGAAAAGCAGACACCTGACACTGGCCCATGCCAGCTTAGAGAGAGAAAGAGAGGAGAGAGAGAGAGAGTGTGTGTGTTGTGTTGTATTGTGTTTTGTGTATGAAAAATAATGTAGGAAAAAGAAGCAGAGAGGGAGACAGATGTACTTCTACGGAGCTTACAGACTTCAGAGGCAGGCTTTTACGAAGACTACTTTCTCTCTCTCTATAATCAGTCATTGGGGGTCTCCTTTTATTCTCTCACCACACACTATAAACCGTCGTTTTTGCCAAAAGAAAAAATTTGAGTTTTCTTTTTTCTTTTTCTTTTTCTTTTTTTTTTTTTTTTTTTTTTTTTTTTTTTGGGGGGGGTAAAGGTGATTTTCCCTTTTGCCAGATGTGTATGGGTGCCCATATGGCTTGTTTGTTTGATGCATGGGACGCATTATTTGGATTTTGCTTTTCTCAAATGTCCAAAATAGCCTTCCTTATGTTCTTTTTTATTAAAATGAACTCTCCATGAATTTCTGTTTCTAACAATAAGATCTATATCAGAAAATCTTTCTTCTGCGTAATTTTATAGTTTAATATGATTTTCTGTTTTTAATAATAATAACTATATCAAACCATGTTTTCTTTTACATATTTTTATATTTTAATATAATTTTAACCTAATTCAATGTTCATATTATAACCTTTAGAGTGATTTTTTCTTTTAGTTGGGGGAATTTTTTGTATTTATCATGTTCTCCAAAAGTATATCATTCATTTTGTATTGCATCAAATAAATATCATTATATTTTAAGTGTGTACTAAAATTCATGCCTTTTGCAAATAGTGGCGAAGCCTGAATTTTTTTTTAAGGGGCGTAATACAAATTAAAAATTTTAAATATACTATAACACTATATAGTCTTTTTATCTTTAAGTATCTATTCGTACTTTTAATTTTTTTTTTAACTGAATTAAACTTGTAGTGGAGTTTAATATTGATTTTTATTTAGTTTAATATTTTGATTTTTAATGTTTGCAAAGACCAAAACATCCTTAAAGGGGAAAACGGAAGGAACAAAAGAAAAGCAAAAAATAAAAAATAAAAGAATAACCAAAGTCAACAAATGAAAACATAAAACAAAACAAGAACCTTAAAATTAGGAGTGTTCATCACATCTAATCAATTGATCAAATCGACGACTGGTCTAATATAATCCAATTCATTTTTAGTGGATAATCAACCTTAATTAGATTGAATTGAATGTAAATTAAAAGAAAAGGACTTAGATTGCATTGGATATTACTTCTATTTTCAAAACATTCAATCTAAACTGAACCAACCTTTATATATTATATAAAAATGTAATTTACATTATTGATCCAAAATTTAAATTCTATTTTCTCGAACTTTTTATGTATATCAGTTTGTAACTTGGAGTTGTTTGTTATTAGTTGTATATCACCTAATTCTAAGTTGTTTGTTAGATGTTTAATTGTTTATATACTTTTTTGGATTTATGGACGTTAATTGTTGCTTCATTTTTTCAATTGTAGTGTATAAATTTTATCAAAGAGATTTTGTTTATATACTTTTTTGGATTTATGGACGTTAATTGTTGCTTCATTTTTTCAAGTGTAGTGTATAAATTTTATCAAAAAGATTTAACAAATAGGTTGAACAGAAATAAAAAAAAATAAAAAATGTACAAAAAAACTCAATTAAAAAATCGACTAGTCCAATCTAATCCAAACCGACTTAATCAGATTGAATTGGATTGGATAATACACTAGTAATTAAATTGGACATAATTTTTAAAAATTGATCTTTGAATAGATTGGTTGTTATATGACTAAAATAGGTTGGATTAAATTGGATGAATACCCTTACTCAAAACACATTCCGTCAATTTTTTTTTAAAACAAATTTTCGGTTATTTAATTCTTTTATTCTTTTCCTTCGAGTTATTTTTGTAATTAAATTAGTTAAATTTGAGCATTGAACGTAGATGTTTGATGAGGTCTAAAATAAACGGTGTATTATGTGAATTAACACAAAATAGATGGTATATTTATACAAATTTTTCTTTAAAAAATAAATGGGAGCAAAAAATTCAAACCCAAAATCTTATTTTTTTAAATAGATTTGAAATTTTTTGATAATAAATAGATATGAAATTACTGTTAAAGTAAGCTTGCAATAGTGTTATTCAATTGTGCCTGAGAGAAGCATTTCTAAATCTTAGGCTCCGTTTGGTTAAACGTTCAAATTAGGGTGATTCTGGATTTAGTTTTAGAACCAAAACCATGATTTATGATTTTGGGTCTAATCATGATTCTGAAATCAGAACTAAAATCAAGAGTTTGAACCACCTAAAACTAAAGGAAGAGATAGTTTTAAAATCAGGTGTTATTCTGGTTTAAATATTGAATCAAAATCATTCAAATCAAACACTGATTTTAAACCTTGAAGCAGAACCATTTTTTACTTTTTACAAACAAACAAAGATTTGAACTAGAATCATGATTCTGGTTCTAAAATCCTCAAACCAAACGCTGCCTTAATCTTACTCTTATATATTATAAAAGAAAGGAAGAAGCTAAGGGCCTGTTTGTTTCCGGTCTCGTTTTCATTTTTCATAGTTTTCGAGAAAAAAAACTGAAAACGCGTACAGAAACGCATTTGGTGTAAAATTTTTTAAAATTAAAACTGAAAACACCCGTTTTCATTTTTCCTTTTTTTCTCATCTTTCTGAAAATGAATTTTTTCCGTTTTCATTTTTCTTGTTTTCATTTCCAAACTTCTGAGACTGCGTGCCACCCCCACCCTAGGAGAAAGAGAGAAGGAGAAAGAGACGAGTGAAGTAGAGAGGGAGCTGGGGAGAGTGACGAGAGATAGAGGGAGAGGGTGATCTGTGAGGGAGAGAAGGAAAGGAAAAAGTAAAAGAAATAAATTTATTTAATATATTATTATTTAATATATTTAATATTATTATTTATTTAATATATTATTAATTTAAATATTATTATATGTTTTTAAAAATTAAACCACTAAACACTATTTCAGTTTTTTTTAAAACTGAAAACAATCTCAGAATAAAACTACAAAAAGCATTTTCAAAAATAATTACAAAATAAAAATAAAAACGTTTTTATTTTTATTTTCATAAAAAAAAAAACGTTTTTCTAAACGCACCTTAAGTTGATAGCCCTTTTTTTTTTTTAACCGGCTGTGATTGTTTATTTCCATTATTTAGTGGCTGAATATAGGACGCAGGATGTGTCCTAAATTTTCAGGATGTACCGGATATAGTTTTCTTCCAGGTCCTCTAAACTATCCCTGCACTCACAAACATTACTTGTACTCGTTATTTTATAGTAATTCTGGAAATTAAGATATACATATAATATGACTCTAAGAATAATTTATAATGCATAATTTTATCATCAATGATTTGATTTTTTTCCCCGAAATCAAAAATTGGTGCGAGAATTTGTAATTAGTTGGAGATCAATGAAGAAGCACTTATAATAGCATAATAATAAATTATGAATAGCAATTTTATATGAGGGTAGCAATTCAACCGTGGCTTTCAGATGTGGAATGTCCAACAAGATTATCATTACGTTGCGTCGTAGTAAGTTACTAATAATCATTTTTAACAAAACTATGTTGCTTATTATACGACAAACATTTTAACTGTCCCATTGTTACCTCTCTTTTTTCCCACCCTGAAACAACGTTACCTCACTCTTTTTTATTCCTCGCTCTTCATCGTTGGCAATAAAGCATTGTAAACTTTTTTTTAAAATTGAGAAATTTTATTTAATAATTAAGTCAATACATACTATAAATATAGTCGTAAATAACCATTAAATATAAGAGTATTTGACCACAGACAGAAACTGAATTTACCAGTAAAGACAAATTAATGAGGTAAGGAAACGAATACAAGTGCTGAGTCTGAATGGAGAAAGTCTCACTCAGCACATTAACAATCGAGCACAACAAAAGCTCGTTTAACAAAACTACTACAATCGATGGATAAAATCACTCGACCGAGACCCAAAGACCTAGAGCACTAGGGTCACTCATAGCACTGCTTAGGATCAAACCTAACGAGATAAACTTACCACTACCATGGAAAGGTGAGACGACAATTTTCGTTATTACATGACAAAAACATAAAAACTGAAACACATAATCAATATCGCCTTTATTACTTCAAAATATAAATTAAAAACAAGACAAAATTCTCCAACCGCACAGACAAAATCTTCGGCAATAAATTGGCCATCAAGATCATAAAAGATAAATCGACGACGACCCACACGACTCCACCACCAACGTTGAGTGCTCATCCACGCACAACTACCCCTTTCATGACCACTGTGATGAGAAGAGCGAGATTATGAGATTGTAGATGTACAAGAGATTTGACATGCACAATATGATTGGCAAAAAAACCGTTACATCATATCCTTCGTCTCCGTCTACGAAGTCACCACCACCACCATAATCATTGCCATGAGACCTAGAACCCAGTTTGTAGTGCTAGGGATCCGAGACCAGCCAAGAGGAGATGTTAGATTCCGGCCCTAAAAGAGAAAAGCGAGCAAGAAATCCTAGAGATAAAAAAGGGAGAAAAAGAAAGAGGGAACGGCCACTCGTCATAAAGCATTGTTACCTCATTCCTAACCTTTTTGATGTTTTTTAAAATGGGTGTTTCATGTTGTTTATATATTAAAATCTATCCAGCAACTCGTGTAAAAAGCTATTTAGTATTGGTGGTGATGAACATATATTTTTCCCATATTAGAGTATGCTTGCACTTGTATGGTTTTTCTTTTATTTTTTATTGGTGCTGATGAACATATATTTTTCTCATATTAGAATATGCTTGTACTTGTATGTGTTTTCTTTTATTTTTTATTTTTCAATCTATTCGGATAGTAACTATTATTGTATCCTCAACATTTATGACTCATGGTTTGGCTAGTTCAAAGATGTGCTTACCTTTAAAGAAATAAATAATGCGAGGGAAACCACACGCGCGCGCACACCTATTAGTGGACTAAAAAGTTGTTTAATTACAATAATTAACGAGTATATTCCTTCTAAAACTATTAAAAGAAAGATAATCTCTGCAGAAATATTTGGTTAATTTAAGATAATGAAATAATAATATCCACTTTCTTGACTATGCGTACTTCTCTTT